AAAGGTTAAGATGGGGAGGGAAGGGGAGGTGGTTTTTGGGGTGTCAGGAGGGTCTGGGTGAAGGGGAAACCCCTCACCTGGGCACGTTTGTGGGTCAGGGTCCGGCTGTTCTGCAGTTTGCTGAGGAAGAGGATGGCCCCTCGTGTGCCCCGGGGAGACAGTGGCTTCTTGCTGACCTGCTCCACATCTGCACAGAGGGGACACGGCCATGCTGGTGGCATCCACCCTGCAAGGGGAGGCAGGGGGGCACCCAGCCAGCCCTGGTGGGGGACAGGGTGGGCTAAAACCTCCCCAAAATCTCTTACCTGGAGAGGTCTTGAAAGCTTCATAGAACTGGCTGAGGTAGGTGATGAGGCCCAGGCGGTCGGGCTCTGCCATGGTGGCCATCTCAGTGCTGGAGAGCACTGGTTGGATGCCCAGCTCCTGCTCTGCCATGTCCAGCACCATCTGGTGGGTCCGGATGGGATCCTGGGGGTCCACGGAATCAAAGTCCCTGTAGGGAGACATGGGTGCCATCTGGGTTGGCCTGGCAGGGGGTGGAGGTCCCGGGGAGGGGGGTGGTCCCAGGCACTCACAGCAGGTTGGGGTGGAAGGGGTGGAGGAGGGCACAGAGGGCCAGGCCACTGGTCCAGGAGGTGGTGAAGTCGGTGACGGCCACGCCGCGGTACCCGGCCGTGCTGGCCTGGCACCAGCTCAGCAGCTCTTCGTAGGCATCTCCAGAGACAGCTGGGGGAGGTGACACACGTGTCCTCATCCCAAAGAGGCAGGGGACACCCCTCCAGCCTGCTCCCACCCCCCAAGCATCAGTGCTTTGGTGGGAAAGGGGTCCCATGGGGGAAGAAGGGGTCCCACGGGGGATGACACCACCCCCACCCCCCCCTTCCCAGGACTCAATAAATGGGTTGATAAAAGTATCCATCAGTATTTCACGGGGTGAACAGTTTGGGTCAGAAGCAAAGGCAGCTGGGGAGGCCGTGTCCCCATGGGGGGTGTGGGCAGAGGGAAGGGAAATCAGCAGTGCCACCAAGATGGGAACACAGCTGCTGCTGGGAGGAGCTTGGTGACCAGCTGGACACCAGCCAGAGCTGGAGAAAAGAAGGATGAGGAGGAAAATCAGGGCAGGAGCTGCCCTGGCGTGGGCTGCTGGGAGGAAAGGGGGGTCCTGGAGCCTGTGGGGCAGGACTGGCTGCTCCTACCAATGCTGAGCCGGTTGTCACTCTTCCTCTTGTGATCCACCTCCACCATGCCCACCAGGTAGAGGTCCCGGACCTGCCAATGGGGACACAGTGGTGGCAGGTCACCACCTGCACAAAGCCAGCAGCACCATGCAGGGAGCTGGGACCCCTGGACGCCCCATCATGCTTCCCCAGAACCACCATGGGTGATGCATTAAATCCCCTGGGGACCACCAGCTTCAGCCTGGCAGCCTCTGGGGACAGGGGGCCATAAAAATTGGTGTCACCCTGATGCCTGGGGACCTGGGCCGGGTACCTGGTGGGCTTTGATGGCCTGCAGGTTGATGTTGGGGTAGCGTGTGGCCGGGTCGATGCTGTACTGGCTGATGTTCTTGTTGGTGTTGTCCGGGGAGGTCTGCGAGAGGTGCTGGTAGATGCTCTCCCTGGATGCAAGGGACAGAGCTGGACTCAGTGCCTCCATCCTCACCCACTCCAGCACCAGCAGGATGAGGAGGGGGACACATACTCACCTCTCAGCCAGCACCTCCAGCGGGGGGGTCCCGGCCGCCCAGCGCCGCACCATCCATGCAGCGTCGAAGGCAGCAAGGAAACCCCTGGCCACGCCGGTGCCCAAGGGCCAGAAGGGCTGTGGAGGGAGAGGTGGAGATGGAGCTGGAGCTACGTGGCCAGTCAGGGCAGGTGGGAGGAGGCCAGGAGCTGCCAGGCTTGGCCAGGGATGAAAGCAGGGAGCGGCGGGCGGGGAGGGGG